CTTCCTAAACCAGTTTCGGCTCCCTACTCGTCGTCGTTCGTAGCGATCCCGCTCATCGTCCATTCCCGCCAACGCAAATCTTCAAAATCGCATTCCCTAGAAAATGCAATCCGAAATTGGGACCTCTAATCTCAGGCATCCCCACTCCAATTCGAGCATTCCTATAGCTTCCTGGGGCATCTCGAAGTAGTTTTGCAGTGCCCTTTGACGTCGAATCACGCCCAATCGCTCCGGCCCATTCAACGGTTTTGCGGCCTTGTTCCTGCGAGTCAGAGGTAGATGAACTCGAATTGATTCATGCAATTGGAGTATGTTCGCGTCTAACCTGCCATGGGAGAAGATCTCCGGGTCCTCGTGGAAGGTGTCGATGGCATTGGAGACAATCGACGTTGCTCGAGCTACTCCAACCCCTTGCCCCTCTCTCCTACTCTGCTCGGTCGACACAAAACAGAGTCGTCGGCGCTCTGGCAGCGGGTGAGAACTTCCCTTGCAGAAAGCGGTGAGCATGAACCTCCGCGCTGTTAGTCCATCTTCAACACGTTGCCCAGATTGCGATTGAGTTGTTCCCTCGGTGAATCGGCCCCGGCTCGCAATCATATGTTGCTGATCAATTCGGACCTCTCCTGGGGTTAACGGTTTGAGTAAAAAATTATGCTCCCGATGCTTGAATCTGTATGAGTTACCTCGGCCATCATGAACGACCCCACGATCGTATTGCCAAGGGCGTCCTAAGAAGAGGTGCGTGGCTTGCATCGGAGCTACATCGCACCATAAATCATCCTCGTACTCGCCAATTTTGAAGTGAACTTTCACCTGTTTGTTCACCTTCAACGTCCCGTACTCATTTAACCAATGCAGGCTGTAGGGTTGGGAATGCTTAATCGTTGCTAGCCCGAGCTTCTTAACGGCATTAAGGCTGATGACGTTTGTGCAACTGCCTCCGTCAATTACAAAGGATAATAATTTCCCGCCAATTGTACAACGGGTGTGAAAAAGGTTTTCCCGTTGTTCTTCGTTGGCCAGAGAATCCAAGGTGAGTACTCGACGATTTTATCTGAGAAACTTACCTGAAGGTGGGATTTCGGCTTCAATCGATTCATCGACTTCAGAATCAGACCCACTCCCTTTGCTGCCATCTTCCTCTGCTTCATCTTCGGTTACGTACTCCACATGTCGCAGCACCAGGGCCTTCTTGTTTGGACACTGGTTAGCCTTGTGGCCTCTGCCGAAACACTTAAAGCATTGTATATTGCTCGTCGATCCTCCCGACTTCTCATGATTCGACGCAACAGTAGTGCGGGGTGTAGATTTGGGCCCTTCCAACCTGGCCGGTTCCGAATTCATCACAGGGGTGTGCTCTAAATTAGACTTTGAGTACCTCCTCCCCGCACTTGCTCGTTGTTCCCGTTCCACCTTAATTGCAAGATGTACAACTTCTTCCAGCTCGACCAAGGGTCGCAGCTCAACCTCGAGTTTAATTTCGCGATTTATCCCATGAAGGAACCGTGCAATAGTGGCTTCTTTATCTTCCCGGATATCAGCACACATCATGAGAAGCTCAAGCTCTCGATAGTACTCGTCAATTGATTTTGAACCCTGCCATAACTGCTGCACAGCCTCAAACAAATCACGTTGATAGTATCCCGACACAAAACGTTCTCGCAGTAAACCTCTCAGCTTCATCCAAGTTGTGACTTCAGGTTGTAAATTCCTACGACGGCGAAGCTGGGTCTTCTCCCACCACTATGCGGCGTATTTGGTGAATTCGTACGTTGCAAGAAGCACTTTCTGGGCTTCGCTGTAATCGTCGCATTGAAAGAAAAGCATTATCTTTCTTTCCCAATAGAGATACACCGAGGCGCTGTTTGTGCCCGAGAACGATGGGACTGGTAGCTTCACGCATCGCAGATCAGCAACGTTATTTCTTGGCTCCGCTACTTCAGCGGCTAGCTGAACTTCGTGATCACCCTGAAGCGGTTCCTGTTCGAGGTTTTTTTCTGCAACGACCCTCTGCTTCCGAATAGGGGTGTCCACCGTATCTCTCAATTCGGTTAGTTATCAATTTATATGATCGAACTGAGCTTGAAACGCGGCATTCTGATGCGCCATCATAGTTTGAAGCAAGTCTATGGTATTGGCTTGGTCCGCCATTGCTGAATCATCATGTGACGTGGCCTCCTTCTCCGAATAGTCTCTTGCTTCTTCGAAACTTTCTGTCCCACTAACAAAATAGCAACAGGATCACACTCTACCGGGCCCTTTGATATGGTCCACCTTGTCGTGCCTGCGCCGCCTTCCTTCGATGAACTCGCCGTCTCTGCCACCATGGGAGAATCGTCACACGGCTAGTGAGTTGAACCGCGATCAAGATACCAATTGATAAGCTCCAAACCCGTGAGGCTGAATGTCCAAACTTGCAAGTCTCTCATCCTCTCAAGTTTGCTGTTGTTTGGCAGTTGAGAAACCAAGTCACTCGAAAGAAAGAATAGGAGAACAGGGGAATTGATGGGTTTGGATTGTGAAACTTCAACACCGACGATCGGGGAAGAGGCTCGACCCAAAAGAAGATGCAACCTGACCACGATTGAGGTGATGACTCAATCTATACAAGGCTCGCTCGTCGCTGGACAACAATCCACACAACAAGGACAATTCGTTGAGCAAATCACTCAATGAACAAGTTTTTCAATTAATTTCGTCTAACGATTACAAAGGAGTTCTAGGCCTTTAAATAGGCAAACTTAAACCTAATTCAACTACAAAACAAACAAGGAAAGCTAATTAAACTACACTACGGCTAAGGTAACAATCCCAAACTGAAAAGGAATCCCAACTCGTCCATAATACCCAAACTTGTAGCTTACGTAAACTTTCTTCCAAAACAGGTTCCACAACATCTTCTAGCCTCTCGTGCATGTCCTTCTCGAACACCATTTGCTCAACCTTACTGACTTTATATGAACCCGAATCCCATGCCATCTTGTAGAGGAAGTTCTTATCTTCAAAACGACACCTTAACCTCTCATTTCCATCAACCCAGTTGGAAGGTTCGAGCTCGCAAAGTGGTTACCCGAACTCATCATAACAATTAGCCAAAAATTCAGATTGTGTAAATGAGTTGACTTAGCTTCTTGAACAAGCAAATCTAACTTGGAATGGAAGCAATTCAAGCTCATATCACATACCCGTCCCACCAAGAGCATTTCTTCGCATTTACAAAATATATGAATGAAATTGTAACATGTTAATGATAGTGAGGGTAACTCAAAAAAATAAATATTAGAAATGCAATTGAACAACCACCAAAACCAAAAACTAATTCCTTTCCTTCAATTCTCCCTTCACATTTTCACTTTCTCCTTTGTTAACAAGATTATGTTAGATATTTATTCTTAGTAGTTGTATAATAAGGATTGTAAAATATAATACTACTCTATCTTAAGGATTAATGAATGTTTTTAGGGTAAGATGCTTTGAACCTTATTAAGAATGATTGTACATTTGTTGACTTTATGAGATATTAGGTTCGCTATGTGTTATATATGTTAGATGTACAAGACGGGTATTACCCACGGGTTCCCGAAAATTACAGATATGGGGATGGGGTTACAAAACCTTTCTTGCATGGTATGGAACGTGTATGAGTCTGCATACTTGAAAATGAGATAAGGATGGTTTAGACAAACTTGTCTCAATATCATTCCTACATGAAGCCATGGCGCAACATGGGCATTTTAGAAGTGTCCTACGAAATTTCAGTAGGAAAATTTATCGACGTCCACTAATAGTGGAGGATGGCTGCGTGAGAGAGGGAGGAGGGGGAGAGGGGATGGGATGGGATGGTAGGAGTTAGGGTTTTGTTTTTAATTTATATGGGAGGGTAAATGATTGTGTGTGGTAAATCTTTTCCATTCCAAAAATACCCTTCGTTTAATCTTAACCATCAATTTGAAATAAATAAGAAAGAGACAGGAGAATGTCAAACTCACAACCTCCTAAGGGGTTGTCACCGTATCTAGACCTGGCAAATTACAACCCGACCCGAAACCGCCCGAAAACTAGGATTTTTTGTAACCCGAAATCCGAATGACCCGAACCCGATTAACCGTGATTTTTTGGGTCGGGTTGGGTGGGTTAGTGGGTCGACCCGTTAGACCCATTCCATTTTATATATCACTCCCAAAATGATATAATCACTCATAAATCGGTGAGATGTTTAAAAAAAATTACAAGGATTTGAATGACATGTTTGGAGTTTAAGGATAATCAAATATCATGTGTTTCTTGTAGTAGTATTACTCTTCTGATTGTTTTTGGATGATTTGCACAATTTGTATTTCATTTTATTAGCATGGGAGGATTTGAGAATATGTTAATTGACATGTCTTAGGTGAACTATTGTCATGCATATGTGAAAATTTGTGTTCTTTAAGAAAATATGAAGCATGTTTAATATTGTTTCTAAGAATGCTCATAACCCGAAATGACCTGTAACCCGACCCGAAACCGAATGGGTTGGGTCAATATTTAACTCAAAATCAGCCAACCAAATATGATCCGACTCGTAATCGAAATTCCCAACCCGACCCGATTGCCAGGTCTAACCGTATCCCATCCCATAAGTTAACTGATAACAATACTCATTGGTTGAAGCCACCGAGAAACGGGTTCCGGTTAAAATGTAGGAGGAATAAGAAACCTGATCAGCAAACCGCTCCGCTCTAACAGCTTTTGTTTTGGAGTCATTCAGCAGTTATATATAAGAGAAGGAAATCCTGCTCCGGCTCAGACCTATAATGGCAACAAATGACAAACTTGTCTCTATCACTCAAAATTCTCTGCCCTCGTGTTTACGTCAAGGTTTTCATTTCACACACAATCCCTCCTACTGGATTCTTTGTTACCATATTCACTTACGCAGCAAATTCAACCACATTGTCACTAGAAAAGATGAGATTCCCAAATCCTGACGAGCGGGTTGACACTCGACAGTACAAGTCTCAATGATCATCATCTGATGTCTCCTGCTGCTGCTGCTGCTGCTGCAACTCCTCAAATGCTTTCGTCAACACCTGCTCCCATCCACTACCCGGCCCTGCCTCCAAGAACTCTCGTGGAACAGCAGTTTTCAGACCAGGCCGTATCCCACACCGTCTCTCCACAACCCTCAACTCCACATCCTCCTGCTTTTCTTCCCCGTTGAATCCTTCCAGTTCGTCCCACGTAAACAGCAGTGGCAGCGTAAACTCCGCCCATGGGTTAAAATCCAAAACCTTAACCCGACCATCGTTTGTCACGTACACATCGAACGTGTAATCATCCGATTCAAACTTCATCCGCACCCGGTCCTTGAAGAACCCCACAATCAGATCCTGAATCCCTCCTCTCTCTGCCAGAATCAAAGGATAGCACGTGGTGACCTCACGCTGCGAGATACCCACCAGCTGCTGACCACGTACGAAGCACCGGAACTCTCTCTCTGGCAAAATCGAAGAGTACCACTTCCGGAGTGCGATGTAGAAACTTGAGGGTCTGGATGATTCTTTTTTATCACAGCATGAATCATAGGCATGGCCCAGATCATGGACCAAGGAATCGGACGACTTGAGTAAGAGTGCTATCTCACTGAATGAAGTACATCGGAGGTTTCTCGATGAGCTGATCCAAGCTGCATCTTTGGGGGAACTCCAGTTCAGCTTGGGAAAAACTGCACCTCCAAGTGCTTCGATCGATTTCTTGATCTGGAGCTCAAGGTCTGGGAAAGAAGGTGGGGGTGATGAGGTGGATTGCTCTGATTCTTCATCTTCGTCGTCAGATTTTTCTGTTAGTTGGCAATCCAGTTCGTCGATGAGGTTGTGAACTCTGTTTGGGAGAGCGTCTTCGTTTGATATGGAAAGAGGAAGTTGTAGGGTTCCTGAGTCGAGTAGGTAGTCGATGAACGATTGAGGAAGTTGGTGAATGATGGTTGGGATGGAGACTGACTTGAACTTTCGGTACCACTCCTGGATCTGGCATCGATCCACTTCTATAACCTTCATGGTTACCTCGAAGACTCGACTGGCTGTAGTAATTCCTCTACAATCCTGTTTTTCAGTTGGACGAAGAAAGGAAAGGAGATAAAATAAGTATGATTCGTCCCTAGTATATCTATAAAACTAGATGTATGCAAGTTCAGTTAATCAAACCAAATTCAGCAAATCGATATCAAAGACAAGAGCAACCAACAAACAAATCAAATCAGGCGATTCTTAGATGTATTGAGAGAAGTCGAAATCGGGACAAACACAATACAAACTTTGTTTCACATCTTTACACATGTTACTTGCACCTACAGTCAAAAGCTGCTTGCACAATCCAGTTCAATGAATGGTAAAGTGAGCCATGTAAAGAAACCAATAACACAACCATAAGAAAGCTCCTTCCGATCGTCATTTTGTATACAAACAATGATGAAGTTTCAAGTCCCCGGGAGACAATGCAGGAGCCTCACTGAATCACAGAGCAAACAAGAACCCGTCACTACTGATTTTCATGGGCAAATAAAACCAGACGAGGAAGTTCTTGAAGAAGGAATAACCAAGTCGATAAGCAAAGAATAACATAGGACGACGGAAGTTCCACACGATAGGCTACTTGCACAGGCGCATAACATATTCAATCAACGAAACGAAGAGAAACCCTATTTCTAACAATCAAACAAACCATTTTTACCCAAATCAGAAAATTAACATCAAATGACACCAAGAGCGCAATCTCACATACACCGACTGCCCTTCCTTTCAGAGCAGAAGCCCATTGAGAGCAAAAGGAAAGAGTTGAGGGAATCGAACCTTGCTCCCTTGACATTGAGATTGAAGTGAGCAGCCTGATGTTCGGATTGGGTTCTTGTCTTCCTCCACGATTCTTCACCACTGCTGCTGTAATCCGCCGTTCGCTTCCGATTCTCCGACGAAATAAAGAAACACTGCTAATTTACTATTGACGCAACCAGCGCGCGCTCTCTTTCTGTTGTTGGCTGTTGCTCTCCAGAATCCAGTCCTGCTCTGCGCCTGCGGTATAGGACTTGGGACTTAGGAATTAGGATCGAGCATTTTAATTTTGTTTTCCGCGAGGTTCAACCGAAATCAAAATCCAACTTAATATTTTGAACTGTGAGTACTGAGTAGGGATGCTAACGGGTCGGGTTGGGTCGGGTTTTGCCAAACCCAAACCTATGGATTTATCCATGAAAAAACTCGGGATAAAACCCACTGAATTTGAAAAACTCAAACTCAACCCGCTGGGTATCCACGGGTTCATGGGTACCTACGGGTTTTTGTCGTAAAAAATTTACAATAACAAGTTTCTATCAAAATTAAAGTCAAATATCAATCTCTCAATACAAATTATCCATATATAAAACACCATTCTAGAAAATTCAAGCAAATCACAAATTAACTATACAAATTGTTCAACACCAATATAGAAAACTCAAGAAAATTGAAGCAAATCACAAATTATCTATAAAGGAAGAAGCTTTCAATTAAGTTTCTTCACTCTCCACTCCATAATATCAACTTCATTATACACAATTAGAAAGAAAAAATTAGACATGTCTCCACAAACATAAATAAGATTAGTTGTTTAGAATATTAAATATATCGAGAAAATTAATATGGGTGTGGGCGGGTACCCATGGGCCCAGTTTATCTAAACCCAAACCCAACCCAACTCGGTGAATGGTGAACTGGTTTATACCCAAACCCGGTCCAAAACCTATCAACACGGATTTTACCCGCGTTGACCGGGTTGGGTCGGGTGGGTACCCGTGAGTTCGGGTTTTGTTGTCATCCCTAACTGTGAGACCATCCACAATGTGGGTGGGAGCGAAAGGTGAGAAAATAGGGAGAAGAGGAGGAAAGAGAGATTTTGGTCACAATGTGGAGGGTGGGAAAAGTGACTAATTAGTTTAGTACTTTTTTGTTAGGGTTATAGGTATAATATGCCACTCTACTATGACGTTTTATCAAACATGCCCCTTTACTATTTTTTACATCAAACATGCCCCTGTAATTTGGAAACATTATCAAACAATGCCCTTTAGTTGAAATTTCCACTGAAAAAATCGTCAATCATGATTGAACCGAGATTTAGACGACCTGACATCGATAAATGGGAGGGGAAATGTTAGTTTTGACCCTTGTTTTATTTCTCCAAGTCTCGTCAAAGTGAAATTATTAGAATTATTTGGCTATACAAAAGAACAAAAATAAAACCTCTAAAGTGAAATTATTAGGGATATTTTAGATATTTGGGTCGCCCAAACCAAAGTTCGGTCTTGTTTAACGGTTTTTGGATGGAAATTTTAACAAAAGGGCATGTTTTATAAGTTTTCCAAAGTACAGGGGGCATGTTTGATGTAAAAAATAGTAGAAGGACATGTTTGATAAAACGTCATAGTAGAGGGGCATATTATACCTATAACCATTTTTGTTAAAATCAATCTATAGTTGATTTCGTTACTTTATTTTTATATAATGATCATTATTTTTACGTAGCTAGTGGTAATTAATTAATACAAACATTTTGATATAATTTTCTTTTAATTTGGGCATAATTTTTTCATCACAAATTAAATATAACGTCATTGATTCCGTCCATTGCGAATCAAACCAATCAAAACATCTCACAATAAAAGAAAACCATTAAATCAAAACATCCCACACTATGGAAACATTTTCCACTTTTTCCATTTTACCAACCTGCATTGTGGGTGGTCTGTAGGGATGGCAATGGGTCGGGTTGGGTCGGGTTTTGCCAAACCCAAACTCAAACCCATGAGTTTATCCGTGAAAAACCCCGGGGTAAAACCCATTGGGTTTGAAAAACACAAACCCAACCCACGGGTTGATGGGTACCCACGGGTTTTCGTCGTAAAAAATTTACAATAACAAGTTCCTATCAAAATTAAAGTCAAATATCAATCTCTCAATACAAATTATCCATATTTAAAACACCATCCTAGAAAATTCAAGCAAATCACAAATTAACTATACAAATTGTTCAACACCAATCTAGAAAACTCAAGAAAATTGAAGTAAATCATAAATTATCCATAAATAACATGATTAATTGAAAGCTTCTTCCTTTCAATTAAGTTTCTTCACTCTCCACTCTATAACTTCAACTTCATTCTACACAATTAGAAAGAAAAAATTAGGCATGTCTCCACAAACATAAATAAGATTAGTTGTTTAGAATATTAAATATACCGAGAAAATTAATTATATGGGTGTGGGCGGGTACCCTTGGGTCGGCTTTACCTAAACACAAACCCAACCCAACCCGGTGAATAGTGAACGGGTTAAAACCCAAACCCGGCCCAAAACCCGTCAACACGGATTTTACCCGCGTTGATCGGGTTGGGTCGGATGGGAACCCGTGGGTTCGGGTTTTGTTGCCATCCCTAGTGGTCTGATTGTTGTTAAACTTAAACGAGAATTCATTAAGGTGTTTTTTTCCGTAAATATTCCAAAAATAATAACAATGGGTAAATACAATTTAATAGCTAAACTTTTCGAAGGAAAAGAAAATAATTGTTAAATTTTTTTAAAAACAATTAATAGCCAAATATTTTCTGTCAGGTCAACAATTAGATGAAAACCAGGGGATATACATGTACGGTAGGAACTACATACAAGAATCAGGCGGAGAAAAAGCCTTCTTCTTTGTCTCTACAGTAACCTTCTTCATCTTCAGTATATCCGCTGCCGCCGCTCTGATTCCAAAATCTCACCATCTGCGGCTGAATCTCGCTTCTCTCGACCAAAAGCTCCACCGCCGCCACTTCAGATCCTGAAATCAATAAGAAACGATGAGTTCTTGCTATTGGGAGAGGATCGATGTCGTGGGCTCTGGCACCTCGAGGGAAACTGGACAAGGATCGGAGCCCCTGCAATCGCCCCTTCCTCTCCCTCCGCCACACCTACTTCGACCTGGCCAGAATCTTGTCGTCGGAGGCTTCTCATCCACAGTCGCCCTAGTCCTACGGCCGACGATTTTAGGCGAACATCTAGGCGTTCGAACGGTAGCATTAGGGTTGGGGATTTCGGCGCTCCTGATGTAGTCGCGTTGGAGAAGACCAAGGTGGCGAACGAAAACGAGGGGAATTCTCTTTTTCTTTTTTATTTTTTTATAATTATTATTTCATTATTTTATAATTATTATTAAATAATTTGATAATAATGCAATAAAAAAGATAAAGAAAATATATAGCTGACGTGTACACTTATTTGCCACCTTAGAGTCAACTAACAGTTCACCGGATGAAAAGTTAACCGTTTGGCTATTAAATTGTTTTCAAAGGTTCGGCTATTATTTTATTTAAAATTAAAGGTTTGCTATTAAATTGTATTTACCCTTTTCAATTTTATGGAAGAGAAATAGAAGGAAAATTTGAGTATTTTTAATTTATGTAAGGAGAAAGAAGGAGGGAAATTTTAGTATTCTCTCTTTTTTTGTGTGTGAAAAGAACGAAGGAAACAAATTTGGTGTTTTCAACTTTTTGGCTTTTTTAAAACTTTATCCTTTTCAAATATTAATATTTAAATTTATATGGAGGACATGACTAATTAACTATATTATACTCTTATATGGAATGACTATTTGACTATATTAGATTTGAAAATCTATAATAAGTTATCTCATCTTCAATATAACATCACTCGAATTATCTCAAATGCATGTTATTTTACATTATTCATATGAGAGAATTCTACAGGAAGTTTGCAGTCAAAGGATTTCAAGAACACTAAGGACAATCAAGCAGAAATTCAACATGCTGAAACTGGAACTCAAAAACCTTAATAAAGAGCACTTCTCTGACATTACAGGGAGAGTTGAGAAAGCTAGCTCCGACCTTAAAGCGGCACAAATTCATGCTCTTGAGACTCCCTCTGGTATCATTTTCGATAGAGTTCATGAACTTACTAGTGAGTTGAGTAGATTGAAGCTGGCGGAGGAGAGCTTTTACAAACAGAAATCTCGTATCCAATATCTT